GGCACCTCCCGCGACCTTCACCAGATCGTCTGTCCACCTAGTGGGAGGCTTGCCCACGCTACGTCTTCCGGCTCGGCTTTTTATGGTGATTTACTAATTATGTAGTTTTAGATTGATTAGTTTAGTCTAATATTTACCGAATTAATGCTCTATTTCTTGGTGTCGTGTCTAATGGCTTTATTAGAGCAATCTTTCTCCGACCTTAGACTACCTACTATTGATTAAAAATCTAAATGAACATATTGTAGGTACTCAGCGGGTCGATCGTTTTTTCGCAAATCGTTGCAAGAAAAATGCCAGTTGCCGCATTCCACCTCGCACGATCTCAAACGCCGCTCTCAATCGCGATAAGCCGAATTACAATCGTTCCTTAGGCCCAGTGGCCCATTAGATTTATCGCTAAACGGTCAAGGGCGAGCTGGCATACAAACAAGGAAAATAAACGGGGGTTTATAGAGCTGGACTCGTCATAGTCCTGGGTTATACACCCGGATGGGAAACACAAACTAATTTGTAGTTTTTTCCAATTTAAAACTTATAATTAAATAATTTTATTTTTGCAATTAGGCTTTTAAAAAGCACTTCACTCGTCCCAGTATAAACTCTACCACTGCTTCGGGATGGTAATTTGATTAGATAAGTATTTGTAAATAACATGGCGGGGCTTGAATTTCCCTGATTACTTGAAAAACATACTCTTAAATAATTTTTTTCTTTCTTTCTTCTTTCTTTCTTACAACCGAATTGAGACGGTAGTTAGTTATCTCTTTTTAGAGGTCGGTTAAAAATATGATTCCGCCTTTTGAAGGGCATACCATCATAAATAACTGCTAATGACCAAATGAAAAATATTCTGACCTTGGAATGCACAAGTTGTCAAAATTTTCAGGATGCCTACATAAAAAAGAGTTTAAATTAATAAGGCTAATTTCCACCTACATCATTCCTACGCTGTTCGATTACTGTTGAGTTGAGGGCAACAAAAAATACGCAACAAAATGATTCTACGGACCAATTGGATCGATTGAAATTTTATTTGGTATACAATATCTTGTAAATATTCTCCAGCAGAACGCTACTAAAATAAATCCACGAAACTCTGTTCCCTGTCAGTTTGATTTACATAAAACCTCCTGTCTTACCCCGGATAATATTTTACCCGGTCTTACGATCGCGCAAACGTTTTATTTTAGTAATTGCTAATAACTCTGCGTTTTGCGAAATTAATGTGATCGGAAAAATCGGTATACATTTTTGGGGAAAAATGATCTAGGAAGTGGTTCTTTTGAATATTTTTCCAAGTCAGTGAATCGAAAATATGTTTCTAAGCTGCCAGCTTGTATGTTTTGATCAGAGGAATTCGAATAGAAATGATTTAATAAGAATAGTTAACTGTGTCCTTCACAATTTTTTCCCAACTACCACTTAGACACAATTTTAACAAGAAAACTTTATTTAAAGAATTTTATTCTTTAGATGTAGGTGTAAGATGTACCTACAAGAAGTAAGAGCTAGGCATGAAGTCTGTATTTCATCCTCATAATCTTTTAGCCAATTGAAAGCTCAATCTACAAGAGTTCGCTCTTTCTTCTTAGCACTTGGTATATTATTATCTTTGTCTCAAAGTGTTGGTAGAGCCCAAAAGGTAAGAAGACTATATAAAAATAAAAATTCTGGTGTTAGTGACACGTTTTCCATTAACACTAGAAGTGCCGAAGATTACGACCCCCCTAAAAGCGCCGCTGGGTCAATTTTGTCCCAGCATATCTTTTGTAACATTTTTTAGTTTCAGGCATGAACATTATGGTTAAAACTATTTATGGTATCCTTAAAAAATGGTTTATCTATATAGTTAAATAAATATGTACTTGTCGTAGAATATTGATTGTCATGTAATTACTTAGTAATCATTTTAATAAAACCAAATAATAATAACAACATTAATTTTAAATGTAATAAATTATAATTTGATTTATTGTAAATGTCTAGTTATGTTATAAAATAGTTTACAGTAAGTAAAAGGAGTTGTATTGACCGTACCGAGACAGGTCGGGCGCTACCTGCTAGCCGGTTTGGGTAGGGATGGCTGTATAAAAGAACGAGCACGACCGTAGTCGTGGCATTCTGGCCTCACCCGCCGCTCGGTATTGTTGTCTCGGTCCTGTGTGTGAGACTGCTCGAATATTATTATTGTTATTATTGTATTCTTACCGAAATACAACAATCTATAGTGTTAAAACTATACATCGTTTTATTTAACTTCCTGGTGAAACATAATGTCCTGCTCCTTCTGACCGTTCTCCGACATCAGAAGCGGGATAAAGAAGGCCAGCCCACTTCAATTTTTTTTTTTCCTCCTTTCTGCCGTACAGGCAAAAACTCAAGGAACATTATGGCCATGTTTTTAAAATATTTCTAACAACCCTCACGTCAATGTTACTCCGCTAAGTCATTTATCGGCTGTTCTGGAGCCCTTCAAACACCGAAATGCAGAAATAGAAGGCCCGTGTTATTTTTTTTTTTCAATTGACTATCACCATGTTCGAAATCACAGGGATGATTACATTATTTTGATATCTATAGTCACAGGGATGGCTTTCAGAGTTGTGGCACTTGCATACCTACTATTCATGATGCTTTCTTTATATTTGACTAAAATGCACTTGTACTTTTTGACTTTTATCTTTTATTTTCGTTATAGTAGGTTTTATAAGACAAGGTAGTTTTCAGTTGATGAATATTCATGTTTTACCATAATTATGGTTAAAGTTTGCAAATTAGTATTTACATCCAATCATAAGTGATAATTTAATCTTAACTCAAAACAATTTTTAGTTTGGCTCAGTGGTACAAATAGTATCAAAAAAAAGTGCGCCATTATGAACATGCAATAAATTACGTCACGTGCATTGAGTGAAAAAAAGTTATTGTAAACTATTTGAACCTATCACGGTTCACCACTGATCTGAATATTATCGTGACGGATGTAAATAGACTGAAACTATTAGAATCGCTTAAATAGACTTCCTGAATTCATTATCGGTTTACCTTGTAGTAGGTACTCGTGTAATAGAATACGGGCGGTAGGCTTAAAATAAGATTTTATCTCGGGAAAGTAGCAGCTTTGCCACTTTGCACTTGCTTACCTATTCATGATCAATTGAGAAGAATGCCATAGGGTTTTGTACCAGTCTAAAGTTGAAGTCGAGGTACATGCTGTTCACAGTAGCGGTGATGACGATTTTTCTGTAATGGGAACTCGAATTTGCTTTTGAGCCGTAAATCGTAGTGTGTAGTCGATGGGTGATGCACACAGCGTTGTGATATCTAGTACTTAATGGTACAGTTTCAGTAATGGTAATTAGTGTGGGAAATGGAGATACTCGAGTGTCCTACGAATTTATTACTGACGAATATTATTGAAGTGTTACATAGCCCTGGCTCCTTCTATGTTCTTAANCAAACTATTTTATAACATAACTAGACATTTACAATAAATCAAATTATAATTTATTACATTTAAAATTAATGTTGTTATTACTATTTGGTTTTATTAAAATGATTACTAAGTAATTACATGACAATCAATATTCTACGACACGGCCTTCCTGACGTTTCACACGTCCTCGGGTGATGAGTACTCTTGAGAATCATCTGCAAATGAGATAAAATTTATGGATTATATTGCTCGGCCAAACCTGACTTCAAAAATGAGGGTACTTTCTACTCAGAGTTTTTATACTACTTACTCAAAGGGTTCATACTACTCAAAGGGTACATACTACTCAAAGGGTTCATACTACTCAAAGGGTTCATACTACTCAAAGGGTTCATACTACTCAAAGGGTTCATACTAAAATGGTTCATACTACTCAAAGATTTTATACTACTCGAAGATTTTATAAATGATCAACACAAAGGAAATTCTTCAATAAAACTAAAATTGTATTTTATATCATCTATACACAAAATTGACACAAGTTACCGAATACCTAGCGCAGGTTGCCCAACCCGGTGTTACCCGAGGCAGCCACCGCCACCCAAGGCAGCCTCCGCTCCACACAGGAGCCCCCGCTCCACACAGGAGCTCCGCTCCACACGGGAGCCCGTCATAGTTATAAGTCATCTCCACACAGGAGCCAGTTGTAGTCATAAGTCACCTCCACACGGGAGCCAGTCACAGTCATAAGTCACCTCCACACAGGAGCGCCCCACACAGGAGCCCTGCCCCACACAGGGGCCCCGCTCCACACAGGAGCGCTCCACACAGGAGCCTAATCATAGTCATAAGTCATCTCCACACAGGAGCGCCCCACACAGGAGCCCCGCCCCACACAGGGGCCCCGCTCCACACAGGAGCCAGTCATAGTCATAAGTCGTGCAGGATCATTATCCACGATGGTAGATAAGACCCCCACAGCCCTCCCAGTCATAGTCGCAAGTCATGAGTCTTGTATAAGTCATAAGTCACTTATTCCACTAACAAAATACATTGTGCGGGATCATTATCCACAATGGTAGATAAGACCCTCACAGCTCTCCCATGCTAGCCCAGATCGTCACCCAATAGAGCAGGTGAGACTTCAGCAATAATCAACATCAGTTTGACGTGATAAGGTATTTTCAGACTAGGTTTTAAAGGTATTGCCCGGAAAGCTCTATAACTGTGCTTTATTACATTTGAATTAAATTACCAACGTATGAGACTATTACATTGTATACAAATTTTAAAAGTACAGTTTTTTACTTTTTGTTAATTAAAATGTATTATACAGTGAATGACTTTTTNCGCGAGATTTGCTTGTATAAAAAAAAAACCGACTCCAAAAAACCTGTTGAGAACCAACAAAAGAGTTTTTAATGTTTTTTTACTTTTTCTTCTAAAACAAAATAAAATTTTACTTCTTCACTTTGACAGCTGAAAGAAAGTCGTTTTATTCATACATTTTATCCATATTTTAATACATTAGTCCAATAATTCATACATTCAATAGTTAATTTATGTCTTATGCAACATAAATTTGGTGCCGAAACCCATACATCGATTACATTGGTTTTTTTGTGAGCTGCTAGAAAATTATCCCGAGGGCCAACGCCGGCATAGTTGCCAATTGCAGTAGGTATTATGGCTACCCAGGTTTGTGGTGACACTAATAAACATAAAACCAAACTATTACAAGGACAATGCAAGGCCGCTATAACACGATGTGTTACTTTTTTGGACAAAAAGTCAGACCCGAGTGTGTTTGAACTGACGAACCGACGGAAGGCAGTTGAAGAAGCGTTCGCGCGCTACAACCGGCTGGCGGACGAGGCCATTTTGCAAGGCCAAGAGGTGTTGGACGGTGAAGAGGAGTTTGAGGAGCGCTATTACGAAGCCCTCTCCCGGATCGACGCTCTTCTGGACCGCTGCAGCAGTGCTTCGCCGCTGGGGTTTGCGAGTGCCGTGGACGTTTCGACGCCGCTGTTCGAGACCACGAGGCTGCCTCCGATAGAAATCCAATCGTTTGACGGTAACAACGTCTGTGCATACAAGCCATTCATCGAGCTTTTTATGGAATTAATAGGAAAAAACTTTAAGTTATCCAATGTACAAAAATTATATTATTTAAAGGGCTATTTAAAGGGCGAGGCCTTAAATCTTGTAAATAATTTGCCTCTCATAAACCAGTCGTATCATGATGCTATTGCTTTGTTGAATAGGAGATACGACACTAAGGGACTAATGATTAAAACGCATATTAGTACTATTTTAGATCTACCTAGTATTACGCGTGGCACTGCCCAGGCCATCCGTTCCTTAGTGTCACAGATTTCGCAGCAAATGAGCGCGCTACGTAGCTATGATGAACCCGTTGATAGCTGGGACTCCATATTGGTTTGCATCGTGATGAAGAAATTAGATTCACTGACTGTAAGATTGTTTAGTGCAGAGCAGGACTTTTGTAGCATGCCCAGTATGGAGTCGCTGCTGAGTTTTCTAGAGAGACGTGCTATCTCGCTCGAGGCTAGCTCGGCTTGTGACACGAGCCGTACAGAAAGGGCTTCGATGTCTTTTCATATTTCCACGTGTAATACAAAACCTAATCCAAAGTGTAATAATGCAAAATCAACAATGATTCCTTGTTTATTGTGTAGAGATAGTTGTCACAAATTATACAAATGCCCTACTTTTTTATCAATGAAGCTTTCAGAAAGGCTTTCACATGTAAATAATTACAATTTATGTAAAATATGTTTAAATAAGCATGCACAAAAATGTAGATACAATTTTACATGTTCCGTATGCAAAGAGAATTCGCATAATTCTTTAATACATCCCAATCCCAACTAATATTATAAATGCGAAAGTAACTCTGTCTGTCTGTCTGTCTGTCTGTCTGTCTGTCTGTCTGTCTGTCTGTNGAGTTTCTTGCGCTGCTTCTTCTTAGCACTGGCCCATTTATTGTCCCGAAGCAGTGGTAGGGTTAATTTGCAAAAATAAATGAATTTAGTACCGACCGAGTAGTAAATACCGAGTATCACATAATAAAATAATAAATAAAATCATTTATTTGCAGGAACATGCTTACAGATTGGTGTTAATTTAGTTAATTCCAGCATATTGTCGCATGCGACGTGCAAAAGTTCTTGTTCTTATAGTTTTATTTTTTTATTTAATTTTTCTTTATTCAGAAAACCACAGCTCTTATACATAACAGCAGCATAATAATAATACAAAAGTTATGTTAATTATTATTGCTACATTTAGTTTTAGACTCAAATTAATTGTAAATGTCAAATTAAGTTTCATTACCGATGTCACATCATTCTATTACTTAAAAAGTCATTCACTGTATAATACATTTTAATTAACAAAAAGTAAAAAAAACTGTACTTTTAAAATTTGTATACAATGTGATAGTAGTCTCATACGTTGGTAATTTAATTCAAATGTAATAAAGCACAGTTATAGAGCTTTCCGGGCAATACCTTTAAAACCTAGTCTGAAAATACCTTATCACGTCAAACTGATGTTGATTATTGCTGAAGTCTCACCTGCTCTATTGGGTGACGATCTGGGCTAGCATGGGAGAGCTGTGAGGGTCTTATCTACCATTGTGAATAATGATCCCGCACAATGTATTTTATTAGTGGAATAAGTGACTTATGACTTATACAAGACTCATGACTTGCGACTATGACTGGGAGGGCTGTGGGGGTCTTATCTACCATCGTGGATAATGATCCTGCACGACTTATGACTATGACTGGGGCCCCTGTGTGGGGCGGGGCTCCTGTGTGGGGCGCTCCTGTGTGGAGATGACTTATGACTATGATTAGGCTCCTGTGTGGAGCGCTCCTGTGTGGAGCGGGGCCCCTGTGTGGGGCGGGGCTCCTGTGTGGGGCGCTCCTGTGTGGAGGTGACTTATGACTGTGACTGGCTCCTGTGTGGAGGTGACTTATAACTATGACGGGCTCCCGTGTGGAGCGGAGCTCCTGTGTGGAGCGGGGGCTCCTGTGTGGAGCGGAGGCTGCCTTGGGTGGCGGTGGCTGCCTCGGGTAACACCGGGTTGGGCAACCTGCGCTAGGTATTCGGTAACTTGTGTCAATTTTGTGTATAGAAGATATAAAATACAATTTTAGTTTTATTGAAGAATTTCCTTTGTGTTGATCATTTATAAAATCTTCGAGTAGTATGAACCATTTGATTAGTATGAACCATTTTAGTATGAACCCTTTGAGTAGTATGAACCCTTTGAGTAGTATGAACCCTTTGAGTAGTATGTACTCTTTGAGTAGTATGAACCCTTGGAGTAAGTAGTATAAAAACTCTGAGTAGAAAGTACCCTCATTTTTGAAGTCAGGTTTGGCCGAGCAATATAATCCATAAATTTTATCTCATTTGCAGATGATTCTCAAGAGTACTCATCACCCGAGGACGTGTGAAACGTCAGGAAGGCCGTGTCGTAGAATATTGATTGTCATGTAATTACTTAGTAATCATTTTAATAAAACCAAATAATAATAACAACATTAATTTTAAATGTAATAAATTATAATTTGATTTATTGTAAATGTCTAGTTATGTTATAAAATAGTTTACAGTAAGTAAAAGGAGTTGTATTGACCGTACCGAGACAGGTCGGGCGCTACCTGCTAGCCGGTTTGGGTAGGGATGGCTGTATAAAAGAACGAGCACGACCGTAGTCGTGGCATTCTGGCCTCACCCGCCGCTCGGTATTGTTGTCTCGGTCCTGTGTGTGAGACTGCTCGAATATTATTATTGTTATTATTGTATTCTTACCGAAATACAACAATCTATAGTGTTAAAACTATACATCGTTTTATTTAACTTCCTGGTGAAACATAATGTCCTGCTCCTTCTGACCGTTCTCCGACTATTTATTCCGATATCCGAATATTTCTTTAAAAATATAAAAATATTTAATTTTAATTTTGAATTATTAAAAAACAGATATTTTTGGTTTCATATAAAAATTGACACATATTACATGGTGTTATACTGTATTAAAGTTATGACATTACTACTTTTACTATTCATTATTATTTTTGAAGGAATAATAAATATGTTACAAATAGTAGTGCACATTTTGCTCAAAGCTTTTTTGTATGGGTTTTTTGTCTCTCTGGTGTACTATGTGTTTAGGAATTTCTATAGGTATGGTTATTTTTCTGTTATCCGTACACACTCAGTTAAGTTTTTTACCAGTTGCAATGAAAAGAATGTACGTTTAATTTAAAAAAAAATATAAGTCACACATTTTAAAAATGTATCAAATCATACAATGTATGAACTGGCCAATGTTTAAAAGCCACCTTCCTTCTAATATTATAAGTGTAAAAGTTAGTAAAGATTGATGAATTGAAGGATGGATGGACTGATGAATGGATATGAAGGATGAATGGGTGGATATATGCCTTGAACTTGAACTAAGTGAGTATGGATTCATGGTTAGATCGATGGATGTTTTTTCACTCTTTTACGCAATAAATACTGAGCCGATATTAATAAAACTTTGCAGTTTTATTGCTAATACTTCAGAATAACATAATATAGGCTATAATTTAGAATAATGTTCAGTTATTTGGTCAAATAACAACGATAAATGCAAAGAAGTTAGGTCTTTCTATGATAAATTTAATTTCTCATGGGTGAAGTCACAGGCAAGAACTAGTACAATATATTTACATTTCTGCATTGTCACGAGTCACCTAAACGCTCCTCACCTCTCCACTCTCGTATCTCCTCGAAACAAGCACTCTTCGTCGAATTATTGTTGCAAATACCAGGGTGGGACAAAATTGACCCAGTGGCGCTTCTAGGTAAAACCGATTTTGAAATTTTTTCTATTAATATTATAGTATCAAAAACATTAAAAAATGATAAAACTCAATAAATCAGAAAAAGTCAAAAAGTTTCATGAACTTTCGTTAAAAAATAAAAAAGTTAGAGACGATCAAACTCGCAAGTGGGACAAAAATGGGACGGCGGCCTTTCTAGTGTACAGGATGTCACTCAATTATCGTGTGACTTTGAAGCGTGAAGATGTTATCAGCCTAATTGAATGAATACACTGTCTTTAAATTAATTATTCAGTTACCCCACTTATTCATGGCAAGTTTAGGCAATACACAGTGAATAACGTTACACAGAAGCTTTTCCTTTATCAACAGGAATAACTTAATTTCTAACTCCTCCTATGATCTTCTGATTAATTTTGTAGCGAGTCTAATGACAGTTGAACTTTTCTCCGGGACGAACTTGACCTTCACCGGTTGGGTTTTTATTGACGGTCAAGCCGTAGATCCTGGCTACACAGGAATTGCTTGGTGGGAACGGGAGGTGAGAATAGTATTTCGTATTTCTCACGGTGCATAGAGTCTGCGAAAAATCTAGGCACAGTCCCATATTTCCTTCTCTTAGTCATTTCAGCTCCAAGGTAGATTGATTATGAATCTGTATTCAAAACGGTTAATTTTAAATTTTTAGATTTTAATGCTCATTGTTTTGTTCTGTAAAAGACCCCGCAAGCAAAATTAATTAACCTCTTTGATTGAGACCCCACAGGGAATTGAAGCCACTTGCTTATTGAGAGTTGTGTTACTTGTTTGGAACTAACTGTGGTGTTTAAATAGTTTATTAATGTTATTATACTTTGTGTTTATGCTACAAACGTTAGCAACTTTAGATTGGAATCAAGTTACCTAGCTCATTACAGAAAATTCAATCCCTGCGTTTTTCTTTCGTGCTAGAAAATTAGATTGATTTGAAGTTACTAATTAACTCTACTAACGTTACAGAGGGTTAATAAGGGTTTATGCTGAGTAGCAGTCGTATAGAGATAATTAAACAACATTTAAATATTAAATGATATAATCTAAAATACAGGAATCGAGGTGGACCGATGACATCATAAAGGTAGCAGAAAGGCGCTGGACGCAGGCCGCTAGCAATCGATCAACATGGAAATCATTGGGGGGTCCTATGATCAGCAGTGGACGTCCTATGGCTGAAATGATGATGATGATGATGATGATGATGATGATGATGATGATGATGATGATGATGATGACAGGAATCAAATCAAAGTCTTTGTTGCTTGTCAAATAAATGACTTTTCTTTCTTTTTTTTTCTTTGTATCCACAACGAGGAAGCTCTTGGCCTGTATCTCACTGACAATGTTACATTCATAATAAAGCAATATAGACTGGTCCTGGTGTAAAATTGTATCGCATCTCTCTTCAAAGATTTACCCAACTCCCTCAAAAGTAGGTTACCACTTAAAAGAGTAACTAAAGCATCTCCGAGTTAGTAAACTCCGTATCTCTAACAAAGAGTCTCCGCAAACATGCAACATCATAACTTGTAGCAACATAACTGTTGTATAGCAACATCCAACAATATCTCGGCACGCACAATATCCCTGGGTTGAGAACTTCGAAGAATCCCCCAACTATTCCCGCGTGGAGATCAGGACTTAGAGGGATGGTAAAGGTGCAATTGTGGTGAGAAGATGAGCGGCAAGCGATTTAACATCATTTTTGCCATATCTTGTTGTTCAATGTTAAGCTTCATATATGTAGTGTATTGAATTACCGAGAGATGGCGCTGTCTGTAGGTTGAATCGCGGTATGTAAGTTTTAGACGGCAACATAATAGTCAAATTTGGTTCGGAATAAATGAAACTTGCCACTGGAATCTTGGTTTTATTCAAGTTACTACCTGTGGGCTTTTTGGAACTTGTACACTAGTAATATTTAGGGCCAAACATGAGCGCAGCGTACGTCGACCCATTGGGATCTTTTGTGCTTCCCCTTACTTTTGGATCTCCTCCAAATCCTATCCATTAAGTGGATCAAGTGCTTAAAAGAGACGGACCTATAATCTTCTGGTGCCGGATAAGCCGACCCCAGGAGACCCATCCCAGTTATGGTTTGATCCCAGGTGTTTCATGGACTCCACATGTTCTCCACATACAGGACGACAGCTGTCATCCGTAGTTAGGCCCATCTTGTAGAGCATGTGGTTCCTAGTGTAATGCACCAGTGATAACCGTCTTGCCGATTTTTCATACAAGAGTAGGTCCGTATTTAGTTGGAAACGATTTTCAAAGATTTCAAATTGTAACTTCTAATTGTCGAAACTTACAGGCTTAAGTTTGAATAGAGTTTTGAGCTCTGTTTCGGATGGTACTAACATTAATCTAATCGCTATTCCAACATCACTATACCCGTCTCACGTTACGCCCTTGTTAGCGAGCGTGACGCACAATACAGCACATAGATTAACTTGTTTCCTCGTTAGGCCACGGCAACTCATTATAATGCTATTAACGGGAAAAACGAATCTCCCCGTTTTTGGGGAGATTTAGGCACAAGGTTAGTGACGAGGCAGAATGGTTTGGGCAGTGGTCAAGCACAGTTTAATCTGTTTAACCGGCCAAGCGAGGAGAACAAAGTCAGTTGTTGGTAGAATTTTCGAAGTTAAACTGGCTTTTTCACACTAGTTCCAGTGTGTATTTTTGTAAGCTGATAAGTCAATTAATATTAACTTTTTAGATATCGTAAAATAAAGAGGCATTTAAAACATTACTTTGTACTAGAATTGGATTGTAGTATCGTTATGGAAATGTGGCTGAAATTAACGAACTTATATTTATTCCGTGGTTTGGCTTTAAGTTCATATAACTTTGCGTGTACAAGTTATATTCGAATTGGCATATTTATTTACACTTTGCACATACAATTGTACAGTGGCGGACTTAATGCCAGGTGGCATTATCTGCCAGTCAACCACAGGTCGAGTAGAGAGACTAAGGCGGTGCAATAAATATGACGTTTAATTAATATACTTACATAGCATTAGATAAAATAAATAACATAAGAATACATATTAATATAATAGACATACACCTAGATACATAAACATAATAATAATATTGGCGTACACAAAACACATGTCAGAGATAAGAAAAAAGTTTTAGTCTTTAAAATAATTGCGCAGAGCCTAACACTTCGTAAAAGAAGTAATTTTTCAGAAGGAAGTTAAAACTGCGCGCTGTAAATTTTTTGTACGGTGTCTTTTATTTATGTTTTTATAAACATGTATGTATGTTGGATGTATAAGGGATGATTAAAGTACGAACTCGTAATAAGATACATACACTGGTAAACCACACATGTAATGCAAATAAATGATTTGATTTGATATTATGTATCGACGCTACAGCTAACCTACATGTTCCTCTACCTAAAATACGTCGGCAGCCATCACAAATAACTAATTAATTCCGCATATCAAGTGTAGAATTTGCCAATTTGAATCGTAATTATGTGCCTGTCACATTGTCTTCTCCAATTCTCCATAGTTCGGTGACAGGCGTACCGTGGCACAGCTATTGTCCATGGCTTTGCTTGCGTGTAC